ACTAGACCAGATGTATTTAATTGATATTTTTAGAGCATTTCACCCCAAAGCAGCAGAATACATTCTTTTCAAGTGCATGTGGAATATTTTCCAAGATAGACCACATGTTAGGCCACAGAACAAGTCTCAATAAGTTTAAGATGACTGAAATCTTATCAAGTGTCTTCTCTGACCACAGTGGTATGAAGCTAGAAATCAATTACAAGAAAAAAACTGAAAAACACACATATAGAGACTAAATAGCATGCTAATAAATAATGAATAGGTCAACAATGAGATCAAGGAAGAAATCAAAAGATACCTTGAGACAAATGAAAATGCCAACACAATGACCCAAAATCTGTCAGTGAAATCAGTCCTAAAAGGGAAATTTATAGCAATGCAGGTGAACCTAAAGAAACAAGAAAAATATCAAATCAACACTCTATCTTTACACCTAAGGGAACTGGAAAAAAACCCAGCAAAATAAGCTCAAAATGAGTACAAGAAAGGAAATAATAAAGATAAGAATGGAAATAAATGAAATAGAGACCAAAAAAAAAAAATCAAAGAAACCAAGAGCTGGTTTTTTGAAAAGATAAACAAAATTGATAAACTGTTAACCAGACTCATCAGGAAAAAAAGAGAGGGCCCAAATAAATAAAATCAGAAATAAAAGCAGAGAAGTGACAACCAACACAACAGGAAAACAAAAATTTTTTAGAAAATACCATGAGCAACTACATGCTAACAAATTAAACAATCTGGAAGAAATGGATAAATTCCTAGAAGCATACAATCTTCCAAGGCTGAATCAAGAATAAACAAAAAATCTGAACAGACTGATTACTACCAGCAGAACTGAATCAGTAATTAACAAGCTTTCAACAAACAGAAGTCCTGGACCAGATGGTTTCACAGGTGAATTTTATCAAACATACAAAAAAGAATTAACACCTATTCTCCTAAAACTATATTAAAAAATATCCAGGAGTAGGGAAGGCTCCTAAGCTCATTTTACAAGGCCACCACTACCCTGATCCCAAAACCAGACAAAGACATTACAAAAACAAGAAAACTTTTTTTTGTAAAATAAAAAAACCTAGTCCTGGGGCCGGCCGAGTGGCGCGATGGTTAAGAACTGGCTTGGGACACGAGAGGGCCCCGGTTCGGATCCTACATATGAGGGCCAGGGACACTGCCCTCTACAGCTAAGATGCTGAACAACAGCTCAACCTGGAGCTGGGCTGCCGTGAGTCGCCATGGGCTACCGTATGTAGCCAGCAGCCAGCGTGAGCGGCCAGCAGTCGCAGTGAGCAGCCAGCAGTCGCAGTGAGCAGCCATCCAAGAGCCGGCGACTGATCTGCCTCGCCCAGAAAGAGTGCAATGATGGTGCCAACTTGGGCCAGTGAAGCAATGTCCTCCACAACTAGATTGAAGAACAAAATGACAGCAACTCGTCTGTTCCCCTTCCCCCAATTCCCCAGCACTGTACCCATCCCCCCAATTCACCAATAAAAATCTTTAAAAAAACAAAAACAAAAAAAACTAGTCCAATATTCCTAATGAACACAGATGCAAAAATCCTATTAGAACTGATAAATGAATTTAGTAAAATAACAGGCTATAAAATTAATATTCAGAAGTCGTTTGCATTTTTCCATACCAATAATGAAGTACTGGGTTGTCGGAAAAGTCACAATGCATTTTTCCAACGAAAAACATAGAAAAAAATACGTCATGACTTTTCCGACAACCCAATATAATATCAGAAAGAGAAAGAAAATTATCTCATTTACAACTGCATAAAAAAAAATACTTAAGAGTAAATTTAATCAAGGAAGTAAAAGACCTCTACTCAGAAAATTATAAGACATTGAAGAAATTAAAGATGATACAAATAAGTGGAAACATATACCATGCCATAGATAGGAAAAATATAGTTAAAATGTCTATACTATCCAAAGCAATCTATAGATTCAATGCAATCCCTATCAAAATACCAATGACATTTTTCACAGAACTAGACTAGTAAAATTTATATGGAACGATAAAAGACCCCAAATAGCCACAGCAATCCTGAGAAATATGAATAAAGCAGGAGCTCAAGGGTCGACAAATTGTGGCTCGTGAGCCACATGTGGCTCTGTTGGTATGTTCCGTCTCAAAAGTTTGCCGACCCCTGGAAGAGCCAATCCTGTCCCTTGAAATTTTGCGAGACCTATAAAACAAATGAAATCACCATTATGTGAATCATATCCTTTAGAAGTTTTATTAATGAAACTATGATAGTTTTATTTTCATTTTCAATTTTACTTCAGAGCCATATGTACGTACCCAAAGAGCCGCGCGTGGCTCTCGAGCCACAGTTTGCCGACCCCTGGCGGCTCTTCTGTCTCAAAAGTTTGCCAACCCCTGTGGCACCTGATATCAAATTATACTACAAGGCTATAGTAATCAAAACAGCATGGTATTGACATAACAACAGACACATAGATCAATGGAACAGAAGAGAGCCCAGAGATAAATTCATACCTGTACCGTCATTTAATCTGTGACAAAGGAAGAATTTACATTGGGGTAAACACAATCTATTTAAATAAATGGTGTTGGGAAAACTGGACAGACACATGAAAAAAAAATGAAACTGGACCACTTTTTTATGCCATATACAAGAATAAACTCAAAATGGATTAAAGACTTAAATGTAAGACCCGAAACCATAAAACTCCTAGAAGAAAATACAGGAAGTAAATAAGTAGACATTATTATTTATCCTTAGTAATATTTCTACTGATATATTCCCTTGGGCAAGGGAAAAAGAAGAAAAAATAAATATATGGGACTACATCAAACTAAGTTTTTTTTCACATCAAAGGAAATCATTGACAAAACAAAGTCATCCTACTGAATGGCAGAAGATACTTGCCAATGATACATCTGGTAAGGGGTTAATTTCCAAAATTTATTAAAAACTCATACAACTCAATACCAAAAAAACAAAAACAAAATCCAATTAAAAATGGGCAGAGGATCTAACAGACATTTCTCCAAAAAGGACATACAAATGGCCAATAGACATATGAAACGATGATCAACATCATTAATCAGAGAAATACAAATAAAAACCACAATGAGATGTCACCTCACTCCTGTCAAGAGTGGCCATCATCAATAAATCGACAAATAAGTGTTCGTGCGGATGTGGAGAAAAGGAAACCCTTGTACACTGTTGGTGGGATTGCAAACTGGTGCAGCCACTATGGAAAAGAGTATGGAGGCTCCTCAAAAAATTAAAAGTAGAACTACATTATGGCCCAGCAGTTCTACTCCTGGGTATTTATCCAAAGCAATCGAAAACACTAATTTGAAAAAATATACGCACCCCTATGTTTAGTACAGTACTATTCACAATAGCCAAGATACGGAAACAATCAAAATGCCCATCAGGACAATTGGATAAATTGCAGTACATTTATGCAACGGATTATTACTCTGCCTTAAAAAAGAATGAAATCTTACCAGTTACAACATGGATAGTCCTAGAGGAAATTATGCATCAGAGTGAGAGAGACAAATACCCTATGATCTCACTTATATGTGGAATCTAAAGAACGGAATAAACGAGCAAACAAAATAAACAGAGAAAAAAGTGATAAATTGCTAGATGGCAGGGGAGTTGGAGGGTGAGGGAGAAGGTGTAGGGATTAGAAACTACAAATTGGTAGTCACAAAATAGTCACAGGGATGTGAAATACAGTATGGGGGATATAGTCAATGATGTTGTAAAGACTGCAGGGTGTCAGACAGGTACTGGACTTATTGGGAGGATCACTTCATAGATTATATAAATGCCTAACCACTGCGCTGTACACCTGAAGCTGATGTAGAAAATGTATGTATTTTCACAGGATATCTAGTATAGCATAGGGAATATAGTCAATGGTATTTGTAACACGATGTCAGAGGAGTAGAAGACTGGTAGCGGGGTGATCACTTTGAGGGGTGTGAATATCTAATCATTATGTTGTTTTGTACATCTGAAACTAATAAAAAAAAACAAGAAAAGACAAACTTAGAAAAAGTATCGTGGAAATTGCAAAGCAAAATTATAGTAACAAGTCTAAAAAAAAATACATTGAGCACCTCCTACACACTGATTTCAATGCTGTGTTATTTTAGGGAAAGGAGGAACCCCCCTTTCTTGCTACAGAGAACAATATTCTCTAGTATAATCAGGAAGTAGTTTCCTAAAGGGTATTCATTCTCCAGGGTTATTAAAGAATTTACCTTTTATGTATTCAAAACATTTACTAAATGGAAAAGGAACACCAGAAAAATCTTTTTTTTTTCCTGTTTATAATTTTTCTTATACACGCTTTCAAAGTCATTTAAAAATAAGACCATTTCCTTTGCTAGGGAAGTATCTTGTACAAATTAAGTGTGCAATGAATGCTTCTTGAAATGAACAGAAACTCTGCACCAGTAACATTGTTACCTTTAGAGAAGAGGATACATAACTACTGAGACAGGTATCATAGGCTTACAGTTTTAACAAAAACACTGTGACAAGCAATGACCAAATTACAATTTTGATTGGTTTGTTATTATTATTATTCTCTCTCCAAAATTCTGTAGCTTGGAGTCCATTTCAAATTCTAAGAGTCTACTTCATGAATTAAATATGTACATACAGAATAAAGCAGATATACTGTAATTTTTAAAAAGTAAATCATTTTACATATTATAGGATGGAGGCAGTTTAATGTAATCAAAGGTTATAGCTCTGAAAAATATGATGGCAAGATTGTAAAGCTCAGATTACATAGGTTTGTTAACTCTTGGTTTGTTTCAAGGATTACCAAGTTATAGTTGAAGTACGTCTTCAACTCCACATTATTTACAGCTGTCCAATAATAAGGACTTAAGCAGTAAAATATTTTAAGTATGAAAGATGTAATGTTGATGGAAAATGTTCCTGAACACTAGGAATAGGTTAATGAAGAGCAAAGTAAATCTCGAACAAGGAAAGGGAAGGTACATTTATTAAAAATAGTAGACAGTCTCTGATAACAAATAGCCATTCGGATTCCAATACTCGTACATCCTATATACATTTTAACAATGCACATATATTTTAAAAAACCAAAGACCCATGAAGTCATGTTTTTTAGAAGTTTAGAGAGATAAAAAGGATTTGGCCCCCCCCTGCTGGAGGTCTACAAACACAGCATGCAGGACTAGTCCCCTTTCCAGTGTTCTGCACAGCACAGTACTGCAGGGTGCATTCTTTCTGTGAACAGTTTCTAGATAAAATCACAGTTTCTTTAGGGATGATCCAGAGCGTGTCAGAGGCTCATTTCATAAAAAATCTTCATAGGTTGGAAGAGCAGGGACAACCGTTTTCCAAACTTCAGTTTTAAACAAAGTGTACAAAATAAACTACTAAATTTAGGTGCTTTCACATTATTTTGCATGAGTATCAAGTACTGTGTAAAAAGTTACGTAAAATCTTAAATTAGCCAAAACTGTCTTTACACTTTAGATCCAAGTTCTTCACTCTTTTAGCATGGCTGATAAATGTTTTCTGCCATTGTCACTATAATGCCTTTGAAACCAAAGAACTTCGAAGAAATACGCACTGCTGAAGAAACATAGTACCAAAAATGTCACTGAACTTCAGTCTTAAGATACACACAGTTCCTGTTGGACACTGGGTTGTGAGAGTTTATTATCTTCAGTCTTTTCATGTCCTGGGGCGTGGCAAGTAGTCTTCCGCTTAAATAATCGCAGACTCAGTCGTAATAATTCATTGTCCACCACTGGAGCATTTGTGTAAGCTTGTTTTACTGTGCCCTATTTGGAGAAAACAAAAACAAACTTAAAAAGATATATTATTAGTTGACAGTAGGAATGACAGGTTAACTTCTAACAAAAATATAGAAGTTATAAAAAATTAATTTGGGATGGATAATAGCTGTATTAGATATTTCAAAGCAAAAGTAGGAAATGTTTTCAGACTTGAGGAATCTTAGAAAAGAAAGCAATCTTTAGAGGGCACCTAGTCTAACTTCTTGCTTAATGTAGGAATCTTCTCAACAATCCCTGACAGGTAATCAACTAGTTTTTACTTTATTTCTAATGAGAAAAAAAAACACACAGCACACATTCTAGGTTGAACAGTACCACTTGTTCTATGTGTTAAAATAAAATCTCTTTTATGGAGCTACACACTAATTCAGTCTGACTTTACATGATAATCTTTCGATTATCTGAAGAGAAGCACCGAACATCCCACATTCCTTACCGGTCTGTTAAAGTCCCACAAGACACAGGCTCTAGAACTGAACCACTTCTCAGTATACTGGTCAATGCAGCATGCTGAGAAACTACTGCCTCCACTGGTTCTAAAACGTGTATCTCTATTATTTTAACTTAAAGCTACATTAGCATTTTTGGAAGTTGTCATAAAATGTTGTTACACGTTCTGCATGTATATAATGAAAATAAGGTTAAGGTTTGGGCATCCTGCCATTTCTCTTCTTCCTAGGATCCTTAAAGGAACTGTGTGTGGTTCCTTGATTTCATTTTAAATTTCAAAAATAATTTAAAATATTTTTTATACATTGTGATACAGTGAAATTGACTTTTTATGTATAGTTCTGTGAGTTTTTAACTCATGTATACATTCAAGTAACCATGACTACAATCAGGATGGAGATGTTTCGTCACTCACGCCTTTATTCACACCTTCTTTAATCTCTTAACTCTTGACAATGAATGCTAAGTTGTCCATTATAATTTTGCCTTTTCTGGAGCATCATATAAATGGAATCGTGCAGTATATATGATCTTTTGAGACTAATTTCTTTCACTAAACATAATAAGACTCTTCCATGTTGGTAGTACTGATATCTTGGTTATTTTTTTATTACCAATTAGTAATCCATTGTATGGATATGCCCCAGTTTATCTATTAGCCAGTTGAAGATCACTGGGGTTGTTTCTAGTTTTGGATATTACCAACACAGCAGCTATAAACATTTATGTACAGGTTTTTATATGAACATGTCTTCATTTTTCTAAGGTAAATACATAGCAATGGGGTTGCTGGGTTACATATACATTTAACCTTATAAGAAATAACCAAACTGTCTTCCAAAGTAGCTCTACCATTTTGCGTTCTCACCAGCAATATATGGGAGTTTCAATTGCTCTGCCTCCTCACCAACACTTGATATTGTCAGGGTTTTTTGTTGTTGTTTTGTAGTTATCTGTAATAGGTAGATAATGGTATTGAATTGCAGTTTTAATTGCATTTCCTAACGGCTAATAATGTTAAACATCTTTTCATGTGCTTATTAGATACCCATATATCCTCTTTGGTGAAGTGTGTATTCAAGTTTTCTGCCCATTTAAAAAAACTGTGTTGCTTGTTTCTTACTGTTTATTTTCGAGTTCTTTATATATTCTGGATACAAGCTTTTTCAAAATGTGATTTGCAAATATTTTCTCCCAGTATAGTTGTCTTTTCATTCTCAGTCTGTCATAGAACAAAAATTTTAAATTCTGAATATCAATTATTTCAAAACAAAAAAGTTTAATTAAAAAAACTATTATTAGGGCCGGCCGAGTGGCGCGATGGTTAAGAACTCGCTTGGGATGCCAGAGGGCCCCGGTTCGGATCCCACATATGAGGGCCAGTGACACTGCCCTCTACAGCTAAGATGCTGAACAACAGCTCAACCTGGAGCTGGGCTGCCATGAGTCGCCGGCGACGGCGTAGGCTGCACTCCCTGTGGCAGTGGGTTGCCATGGGCTACCGTATGTAGCCAGCAGCCAGCGTGAGCGGCCAGCAGCCGCAGTGAGCGGCCGTCCAGAAGCCGGCGACTGATCTGCCTCGCCCGGGAAGAGCGCAATGATGGTGCCAACTTGGGCCAGTGAAGCAACATCCTCCACAACTAGATTGAAGAACAAGACGACAGCAACTTGTCTGTTCCCCTTCCCCCAATTCCCCAGCACTGTTCCCATCCCCCCAATTCCCCAATAAAAAAATCTTTAAAAACAAAAAAACAAAAACAAAAAAAACTATTATTAAAACTGTCTTCCTCCAATTGACTGCTCATATTTGTGTGGATCTATTTCTGGACTCCGTATTATTCTACTGATCTAAGTGTCTATCCCTTCACCAATACCACACTATCTTGAGTGCACTGTGGCTTTATAGTAAATCTTGAAATCAGGTAGTGAAAGTCTTACTAATTTATTAATCTTTTGTTCATCTTTTTAAAAAATCATTTTGGCTATTCTAGTTTCTTTGACTTCCCATGCAAATTTTAGAATCCGTTTGTCTATAACTACAAAAATATCTGCTGGGATTTTTACTAGAATTGTATTTAATCATAGCTCAATTTACCTGAGTCCTCCAATCTATGAGTACAATATGTCTCTCCATTTATTTAGGTCTTTGATTTTTTTTTTCATCAGTGTATTGTAGTTTTCAGCACATGAATCCTGCACATATAATCTTAGATTTATAACTAAGTACTTAGCTGTAGGTGTTTTTTAGATATCCTTTATAAAGACTCTAATTCCAACTTGCTGAGAATTCTTATTGTAAAGGAATGCTGAATTTTGTCACATGCTTTTTCTGCATCAATTGATATGGTCGTGTATTTTTTCTTCAAGTTTAGAATATTAAACCAGTCTTTCACTCTGAGGATAATCCATACTAGATCATGGTGGTGTATTATTTTTATATATTGCTGAATTTGATGTCCTCTTATTTTTGAGGATTTTTATGTCCATGTTAATAAGAGATATTGATATGCATTTTCTTTTCTTGTGATGTCTTTGGCTGCAATATCAGAGTACTGTTGGGTCTCATAAAGTGAGAATTCCTGGCTCTTCAATTTTCTGGAAGAAACTGTATAAAATTAGTGTTATTTCTTCCTTAAATGTTTGATAAATTTTGCCAGTGAAACCATCTGGGGCTGGATGTTTCCTTTTCAGGTTAACTACAAATTCAATTAAAACAAAAAGCAACAGAACAAAACAGCCGAGGACTACTCAACTAATCTATTACTTCTTGTGTAAGTTTTGGTAGTCTGTCACTGTTAGAGGAATTAATCCATTTCTCCTAAATTATCAAATTTATGTGCATAGAGTTGTTTATAGTACAGTTAAGTCCCCGACTTACAAACATTCGCGCTGCGAACTTTCACAGATACGAACAGACTTTGCATTACGAATATTCGTAGATATGACCAAATCACAGATGTAGTCTCACGTGTCTGCCGATCACTGTCACAGTTGTGCTGCTGTGTGCTTACTGTACAGTGCGAATAGTGTACAGCAGTGCAGTGCTCAATAAGAGCCCAGAATGTCCAGAAGCAAAAGGGAAAGCAGTGGTGATATGGAGGGGACTGCTAGGAAGCGTCAAAGGTGTGGAAGACTCACTTTGTCGGACTTATGAATTAGTTGGATTTACGAACGTTCTTCCGGAACGGAACTCGTTCGTAAGTCGGGGACTTACTGTATTGTCTTCTTGTCCTTTTAATGTCTGTGAGATCTGTAGTGATATTCCCTTTCATTAGTATTGGTAATTTGTGTTTTCCTTTATCAGTATGGATAGGGGATTAACAATTTTATTCATCTCTTCAAAGAATCCCCTTTCAGTTTCACCCATTTTCTCTAATGAATTTCTCGTATGTATTTTATTGATTGCTGGTACTACTGCCTTTCTTTTGCTTGCTACAGGTTCTGTACACTCTTTTAATACTATAATTCTAAAATAAGATTTAATTTCACTGAAAGCACCTAAGTGTCTCTTAGGATCCATTCCCCTGTTTCTTCTGATATGTACTATAATTTACATACTTTAAAAATCATTCTCCTAAACAGAAATGATGCCAATTTATGGAGTTCAATGGTTTTCAACTTTTTTTGTGTCATCTGATGAGGTACCACCTATTCCCTATTCTGCACTTTTCTTCCACAGTCAAATATAATTTAAAGGTTTTTGTCTGTTTTTCTTACATAAGTTCTCTAGCATCTAACTTTTTAGGACCAACTCTCTTCTGTCACAATATCCATGCCCACCAAATTACACCCCCAAATAAAAATCCCAGTTTCTTAACTTTAAAAAGCCTAAGACATTTTCAATTTCTCGTGATCAGATGTCTTCTCAATCTCAACTAATTTGTTTCTCTTACATTTGCATTCCCTTTATTATTCTCAAGTAAATGCTTACATATAATCACTTATATCTATTTCCTTCTCTTCCAACCTGGTACAGTCTCATAAACACTATTTCTATATTTCTATAAATATCTTCACCATTCTTTCTGAGAATTTTTTTCCTTGACCTTCAATTTAAATAAATTTTTAGTATATTTTATTACCCAAAGTAACTTTTCACAATGAAATGAAAAAATATTTCACAGAAATAGATTATCTGATGTCTTTATACATCAAATTTTGAATAACAAACTATTAATCAACACAAATATCCTATTAAAGTAATTTGAAAAGTATTATAAATTCTAATAGAATTCTTTCTTTTACATGTGTAGAAGATTGGAAAATCAAACTCATAAAAACAGATAATGAGACCATAATCTCACCTTAAAGCAATCAAATGAAAAATACGTCATTCATACCCAACAAACACTTTGCATTTTTTCCAAGGAAACAACAATACCTTCTCATTTTTAACAAGCTGCTTTCGGATTGCAGAATCTCGTCTGAAGCACAATGCTTTACAACATGGCCCAAGGTTACTGAGAAGACTTGCTCTTTCTTCCTTTCGTAGTAGTGCAGCCATATTGAGAGCCCCTAGTTCATGTTCAAAAAGACTGTCTGCATCTTTCAAAAAAAACCAAAAACAAACAAAACATGCATTAAGTTTTCTAAAATGTTACCAACTGCTTAGATGAATATTCCACAGAGTCTATACTTTATCAAAATTACCAACATTGGTGAAAATTATTTATATATTCTCTGTGAGAGTCATTCAACCTGTAGTTTTGCTGTTAGTCTGAAACAATAAATATTGTGACAGCCACTTTAAATTTAAGATATAAGAAAAGCAAACTTGGGAGAGAGAATTTAGACATTGATTATTAACTATGACTGGGAAGATAAGTTCAAGTTAAGAATTAGTGAAGTCAAATTCAGAATACTGCATACCATCAACTACTACTTAAAATTCTAGATTTTAGGACTTTAGTAGAGAAAGATTCAAATGTACTAATGTGACTATATTCTGGGACTTTTAAAAAAGCAGTTAGGAAAGTAATTAGGTGTTAGACAATTTTATCCCAGATTTGGTCACTATAAAAACCTGGACAGGTCTTCTTCCTGACTGGTTTTGGTGCCTTAGAGCTGCTGATAGCAAGATGTCTTCAGGAAATGCTAAAATTGGGCACCCTGACCCCAACTTCAAAGCTATAGCTATTAAGCCAGATGGTCAGTTCAAAGATATCAGTCTATCTGACTACAAAGGAAAATGTGTTGTGTTCTTTTTATACCCTCTTGACTTTACCTTTGTGTGCCCCACGGAGGTCATTGCTTTCAGTGATAGGGCAGAAGAATTTAAGAAACTAAACTGCCAAGTGACTGGTGCTTCTGTGGATTCTCACTTCTGTCACCTGGCATGGATCAACACACCCAAGAAACAAGGAGGGTTGGGACCCATGAACATTCCCTTGGTGTCAGACCCCATGCACACTATTGCTCAGGACTAGGGGGTCTAAAGGCTGATGAAGCCATCTCATTCAGGGGCCTCTTTATCATTGATGATAAAGGTATCCTTCGGCAGATCACTGTAAACGACCTTACTGTTGGCCGCTCTGTGGATGAGACTCTGAGACTAGTTCAGGCCTTCCAGTTCACTGACAAACATGGGGAAGTGTGCCCAGCTGGCTGGAAGCCTGGCAGTGATACCATCAAGCCTGATGTCCAGAAGAGCAAATATTTCTCTAAGCAGGAATGAGTGCTGGGCTAGCGGATAGCCATGAGAACAAAACCTGTTTTGTACTATTGTCATGCTTAAAACACAGGTCCTTAGATTTAGTCCACATGTGGTATGGGATAAGACAGGCCTTTATTCCGCTGGAGGAAATGGCCTGAACTTTGCTATGAGGCAGACCAACTGATGTGTACAGCAGTGGGGCACCACTTTTGATCTTTTGTAGTTTCTATTAAACTGGAACTGAGAAAAAACAAAACCAAAACAACCTGGACAATGTGTTAAAATAAAATCACTTAGTTTTAAGTCATAACATGCAAAAGTAGGGAAAAAAATACTTAAACTTTATAAAAATTAAAGAATCAAGAAACATTTAATAAAAATAAAGAGGTTGGATTAAAAATAAGACAAAAAGGAAGTAAAAATAACAGAATAGGGCCAGACAATCAAAATAAATTACAGGAGTAGTAACTTCAAAGCTAGCATTCTAAGAGTTGGCCAAGAGTACCATAGGTACCAGGTACTGCTTCTATAACAACATGATCAAATGGTGTTGAACAGTCCTCCTCATTCGTGGATTCCCAATTGTGGATTGAAAATAGTGCTCTCCATCCACAGTTAGCTGAATTTGTAGATGCGAAACTCAGGGATATGGAGGGCTGACTGTATATATATATATATTGAAGAAAATCCATGTATAAGTAGACCTGCACAGTTCAAACCTGTGTTGTTCAAGGTTCAACTGTACATGCAAGTTTTCTACTTTAAGAATTAAGAATTTAAGGTTGAGTTTTTTAAAAATTACATATGGAGTGGGAAATATACTTTCATCAGTACTGGGGCACGGACATAGACCACATGAAATAGAAAAAACTGGTATCAATTATTTCACTAATATTTATTGAATACCTACTATGTGTCAGGTAGTATTCTAGGCAGTGGCATAATTAGTAAGAACAGATCATTAGACATTGGATACAGCAGTAAACAAAACAAAGTTCTACTGCTTAGGAAACTTATTTTCAGCATCATACATCAGTTATCTAACAAAGCCATAGTAGCAGCAAAAAATAGGACTGATTGGTAAGGAACAAACAAACCCCTCTTTATCATGATAGTGTATTTTCATTGTTTAAATTAAGCCATCATTAAGTGAAGGTCAAACTGTATATTATAGTTAGCAAAATCAAATTAGATTTTAACTTGAGTTGCCATTAGCAAGTCACAGAGGCAAATACATTTAGAGGTGGATAAAACCTTAGGTGTTTCATTCCATCATTTTATGCCCACAGGAGTTACTTGCTTAAGACCACAGAGCCAAGCAAACAAAGTAGAAAGAGTGGGCAATAACCCAAGACTATGGTCATTTGCCAGGTTAATATACATTCACAATTATAATTTACGTTTCATACACATACATTCTATGTTTATTGGGACATATTAAAATCAGGAGTTTTACTGCTTATGCTAAGAGTTGAAAGATAAGATATGGACTCATGAAATTCATAAAGCAATTTTTTCCCAATTTTATTTTAGTAAAAAGCTTAATTCTTTTAACTAAATGTTCTTACTCTCATGAATATGATACAAAATTAAATAATGTTGCTTTCACCTTTTGCTTCCTTTCCTTTTTACACCTCCTCCCCATTAATAAGGTATTAAAAAGCTGCCACAACAAAATAAGAGAGGTGCAGATAAGAGAATTAGTGCAAAAACAAACAACCAACCAACCAACCCATAAACTAAATAAGTTTTTTGGAATAATGAAAAGTTGTTAGATAAGGTCTACACTCAATGTGATAAAATATTTTTAAACTAAAGAGTAGCAGTTAATATTTATTGAGTATTACCATGCATCAGAAACTGTTCTAAGTGGTTTAGGTTTAATAACTCATTTTCTCTTCCTAATAATCATATGAAGTTGGTGCTACAATTATTCCCAGGTCAAGATGGTGACACTATCACACAGCAGGATTAAATAATAGCTAGTAAGCAGTGTGCCTATTGGAATCCAAACCAACTGGTCTAGAGGCCAAGCTTTTAACAACTGTGTTAAAGGTTCAACCTACATAACTGCATTGGGGTAAAATTCCCCATTTCCCAGGATAAAGGGTTGCCAAGACATCCAATCTGCTTAGATATGAAAAATATCTAGTCTACTCTCCCAGGCTCTGCTTCATTTAGCCTTGAGTACACCATTTAGTTCTTCGTTAAAAGTAATTTTGATACAGAAAGGTCACTGTACTATTTTTACAACTTTTCTGTGGACTTAAATTTTTCTCAAAAATAAAACTTAAAAAGGAATTCTGACCATGAGAATGAAATAATGAATATAAGTGATTCCTCAAAAAAATAGATATAGTATTATAAGTGCTATATGAGAACAGAAGAGAATCCTTGCCAACTGCATCGTAACAGAGCAGACAGTAGAGTCAAAGGAGAATGAATTACCTTTGGGTTTTTCTAAAAGTCTCTGACATGTTTCCTTGACTTTGGTAAAGAGTTCAGAACCTGCCAACTTTTTAGAAATCCCAACTCTCAGCATAACAGCTCCAGGTGTGAACTTCAGGAGTGCAGCCCCAGGCTCTCGGGGTTCTTTTGGATGCTTTGGCATAAGACCAGACCAATCTACATCTATCACATCTAATGGATCTGTAAAAAGGTAAAAAAACAGGATTTTTTTTTACACCAACAAATAGAATTCTGTTATCTATAGAGAAATACAAATTATTGGGTTGTCAGAAAAGTCATGACGCATTTTTGCAACAAAAAACAGAAAAAATACATCATGACTTTTCTGACAACCCAATACAAAACACAGAAAGCCATTAAATAACAAGTACTTTAAACCAAAAATGTCATATTCTTAAATGTGAAAGCTTTTCTATAACCACTAATATTCAGAATCTAAGGACCTTTACAAATAAAACTTTCTCACCAAAAGAAAACAGGCAAGCAAACAAAACCCCAAGCAAACCCATTCCTATAAATAACTCATTTAAATTGCCTTTGTCGAGAGATCCCCAATGAAAGAACTCCATTATTTCACTAGAAATAGGTTGGATGTTTTGAAACTTGTGATCAGAATCTTTTCATGGGTTAAATCTAGGAAGCTATTTAGTTTGCATTTATAGTGTACACACACGCGTGCACATACACACACAATTTTACTTTTTAAAAACAAATACTTCATTATGAAATTACTTTTAAGACTCAGACAGTGGATATTATTAACATTGAAAACAAATAATCCATCCATTGACAAGGAACAGTTGAGGATATTAGCAAAATAATGTTCTATTCAGAAACTATTCAGAAATACCTAATAGCCAATAATAATAAAGATAACAATCATACATACCTTCTACATTAGTAGGAAAAATTGTGAAATATAAGAGCAAATTAAGTCAAAATAAAAATTTAATATTCTACATATCTACCCAGAAGAAGCAGAGAGTCTCAGTATGACAAAAAAAAATGTCAGTAACAATCAAACGAATTGGGATGATTCATATATATATATATAGCCAGTAGAATAAGCTCTGGCAAGGCACAAAGTACTATAAGTGAAAATACTGAATTTAGAAAATTGATAGAAAGAAGTATATAAATAGTGTTCAAATATAATTTCAATGATTGTAAATTTTTGAGTGGTCATTGCAAAAGTTGGTTTGTGGCACCACAGTTGTGAAGCTCTGTACTATATACTTAACATCTAGAACTCTGCTAGACAATCAGTATTTGGTTAGATTCCAAGTCATGTAAAATATGAATTGTAAGCTCAGGAAAACTTATAACTTTGCTATTTAAATGAGGTCCTTCCCAGTTCATAGGTAACGTCTCCTTAAAAATGAGCAGAGCCTACTGACTATAATTTTCATTTTATTGGTCTTTTAACGTTAATAAAAACGTAAAGGGGAAAGTTCTAAGTGCCTTTTATCAATTCTTACAGCATGAAAGTAAGCCCCCGATTCCTTAATATGATAAATCAAATAATTTTTATGTTCAACCTCTACAATGATTACCTGGCATCTTCTCCTCATCCTGTTGGTCCTCTCTCTTTTCAGCATCACCTGCCAGAATTTCATCTAGTTCATCATCACTGATGGGCTCGTATCCTTCTCCAGCACCAGATCCTAATGAATGTGTATCATCTAACTTGGATTCGTCATCTGCTAATTGGAAAAATTAATTTCATATCAAAGAGAGTGTTAGGGGAAGGAACATCTAAATTAAACCAAAGATGTAGAGGCTGTGCATATTAAAAAACTTAGAAAAGCATTTTTTTCATTAGAAAATAATATTTTTTAATTATTCAAAAACACTTGATAATTCCAAAAGAAAACTGAAAAATAAAATTCAATTAGTTATATTCAGTTTATTTTTATTTTTTTAGTTACAAAATTTAATTGTAAGGATCAAGCAGTGGTTATTGGTGAAACCAATCTACATTAATAGCTCTGAACTGTACAGGTGCTAGTTTTTAAATAAAGGTGACAAATACCAATCAGATTCTTATATAACACTGTTCAGGATCTAAATAAGATTCTCAATATAGTTCAATACACAGGCTAAGAGAACAACAGTGCAATCATCAATAATTAAACCAAAGGTGTAATCTTCCAAATCACTTTTAGTTAAACAGAATTCTAGCTTTTTAAAAGTCTAAATCTACATAAAACTCAAAGCAATCTAATAAGTTTTCTGAGATCAAATTTCTTTTTCTTCCCCTATCTAAACATAATTCTTGGCATTGAGAATGTGAATTCATGTGATATACTTTGTCAAACTTTTCTAAAAAATTTTAAGCCTTGCTTTAGAGAGAAATTCTCATGTTACACATACATATTTACTTATTATAAAAAGTCACTCATTTATACAAAATGTTCCTGGATGGTGCAATATGAAAAGTGATCACAGAATCTATGTACATACATGAATCACCAAGAGTTCAGGAATAAAGCTCACTTTAAGAAAACCATTTTCTTTTCTGAAGCAGAAGTTGCAAAGTTGTGATGCACAACAAAAGTATTATGTATAAAAGCTCCAAAACCAAGTATTAGCCTAAACTAGCAATAACTGCAACTTAAAAACTAAACCCAATTAGATCTGTACCGTGGCTTATGCAAGCTTTTGCTTTATGGCCTGAAGGCTTTACTGAAGTAACAACCTCTTACCTCTTGCTTCTCTTTCCTGCACACCCCCAACCCCTGCTCTAGTTTCCTTTTTCATGGCTATCTTTGGCAATGCTTCCAAATCTTGAAAGCGGAAGAACCTGCTATAGCAAATGAGGAGGGTGAAATACATGATATATGAAAAAACAATTTAAGACTATAAACTGAGCAAGAAAATACTACAAGAAAGGCTAAGCAGTAGTCTACCTTAAGGGAAAAAGAGAAAATGATAAAATAGGGGTGCTATTCTTCCTCACCCTTCTCCTGATCAGAAGAGCATGGAACCAAAATCTCGAACTCTGAAAAAGCAATGACTTTGAAAGAAGAGCTAGGCAAATGAATAAACGGGAAAGAAGTACAGCAGTACTTTTAGCTATCAATGCGTTTCTTTGCTCTGGCATTGGCATTGTCAATGCAATCTTAGTTGGTGTCAACCTTTTCTGTGATCTAGTCTATTTGTCGGTTTTGAGGCTCAATCTCACTGTCCATGTCCAGGAACATGTTCTTTAGACTTCCTAGGATAATGCCCACTTGAGTCAGGTTCTCTTCCATTTCACCTCCTTGGGCATCATTAGTTATACTATTACATAGGCAGACGCAGTTCTGTTCAATCTTCTCTGCCTCTCTCATGTCTTTGTTTGGTCCATGCCTTCTTCTGTGTGGTTTAGTTGTTCCCCCTGTTCATCCAGCATAGTAATAGTCTTGATTCCTGCATCCTAAGACTCAACAGCTAAACCCAGGATTCTCCTTGTACTTTCCAGACTCAGCAGTAACCTGGAGAGCCTTCAACTGAATTTCTTCTGATGACAGATTATCCATGATGAATTAAAACTCTTGACAGGCACAGAAACTGAAATGTGAATGTTCTCTGTCAAATTTGAAGATTCCAAGAATCCTGCTTTCTAATTATCAAAAAAAGCAGATGTAGCTGAGAGGCGGATGTGAAGAGTCACTCCTGGCATGTCAGCGGGTCATTCTGAAGAACACACCCTTTTGGTGAACTCCAAGTGCTGCCTAGAACTTCTTTTTTTCTTCCCAAGCAGTTCCAGCCACTTCCCTCTGGCAGCCATCCGACCTGACTAGGATCTACGCCCTTCTCTCACCTGGCGTCTGCGCGTCCAGAACCACCCGCCCCGTGCCTATTATATTTAGTTTCAATGGCAAGAACATAATATGAACAGCAATATCAAAATAGGTTAGAAGATGACAATTAAAATATGAAAAATAAAAGCTACCACTAACATATTAATGATGATTATGTGATGTTAATTTCTTATAGTAAAACTTTAAGTAAATCCAGACAAATCTAATTTAAAAAGGATGCATTAATTACTTTACCTAAAATTATTAATATTAAAAAAAACTTATAAAATTATTAATAAAATTTATTTGAAACTTTGATCTTAAGTTCATAATATTTAGCTCATTATGAAGGAGTTTATAGCAGTTAGGTAAAAATGTAAAATGCCATTAATTCTCCTCTCCTATTTCCAAATTCATCTTCCCTACCCCAATGTTATCCTTTAATTAATGAATATAATTCATTATACAATTTAAAAATATTTTTGTTAGTGCCACTGGTGTATATTTTATTTCTTTATTTTATCAACATTTCTCTTGAGCGAGCTCTTAACCAACTGAGCCACTCAGCTTGGCCCCTTTTATCAACATTTCTCAACCACCTAGGTAAGCTAAGCTTTGTCTCCTGGTGAGTTAGTTGTGAAATTTAATTATCCTAAAATTACAGAGTACATTTAATGTTTCTAATCACTAGTTATCCATACAATTTATTGAGTTTACAACACTAGTTTTCAAAATGCAACAATATGCTTTACAGATAAAATTTTGCAACAAATAAAATATAATAAACTATGAGATGTTTCTAAACATTATTATAGTACTCTCCCATGCCCTCACCAACTCACTTATAAGGTAACCAATTTTTTTTTTTTTTTTTTTTTTTAGCTGAGCCATCCTGCTACCTGTTGGCAGCTCAGCGGCTGCTCAGCTCGGGCTGGACTCGAACCGCTGTTGCTCAGAGCTCAAACTCTTGAGCGAGCTCTTAACTAACTGAGCCACTCAGCCGGCCCCGTAACCAATTTTAATAGCTTCTTTATATAAATATACATCTAAACATAAATGCAAATACAGGATTTTTAGTTTTAAGTTTACCCAACTCATTTTCCTACTTTAAGTGAATAAAAATTTCATCTCATAGTAGGTAAATTCACCTATAAATTTCTATGCTGCTATCTATGATCACAACCAATGAATGATATAGTTTAGAAATAAGGGAAACAGGCTCCAATCACAAGAGAACTATTATAATCACTGCTGTTCAATTATATATTATTCCATTATACCCAAGGCTGTACCTCACAAATTGATGATATTTTAACTCAAAATTGAGGTGAAATGTACTGTGAAGAACGTTGAGGTTGAAGTGTTTTGTCAAGTAGAAAAACTATGTAATAGATGACATATTGGAATATTCAATCAGATAACCAAAAGATGTAGGGACATTTACAGTTTTAAAAGACTGCAAATTCTACTCTGGGCCTAATGCTTACAATATGGCAAATAAAAAGAGTAATAAAATTATACTGCTTATATACTAAGTATCCCAGAAGCTTCTTGGAGGCCTGAAGTGGAGAAGTGATGTCAAAACAATTGTGTAAGTACTGGTATCAGAACTGGACAGTCCCACGGAGGCAAAATAACCAGGAGAATTCTCAGGGGAGCCATTACTAGTGGTACCTTAGGCTGTAATTCACCAAAGAATAAAATGCAGGGCAAGTATGTATAGGAAAAACATGTTCATTTATCAACCATTTATTGTGTCCTTGCTATAGTCTCAATGATAAAGGAATGAAAAGCTATGGTCCTTTACAAAGCAGTACAGTACAGTGGAGATAAAACCATGGAAAAATAATTATAATACAGTGCAGGGATGCCATCAAAGATGTATAAACACGGTGACATGTCATTTTTAAAGAGTAAACGCCTTTAGCAGAGAAGGCTTCTTAGAGGAAGTAATGCATAAACTGGGACTTGCAGTTTGAGGTAAAAAGAGAAGATAAAAGCAATGGGAAAAGCAGGTCCAAAGAAGGGTAGAGGACGTAGCCCATTCCGAGATGCAGAGGCATGAGTCAGTCTGTACAGTATGTGGGCATTGAAGGACAGAGGGGTGACGTTCCACACAACTGAGGCTGGTTCTGAGGGAGCCAAAGGGTTGATGTGGACTTCCCAGGGTTCCTCATTCTAGGAGTGGGAAGCGCCAGTAGGATTTTATAGTCAATCTGTCATTAAATGTTATTATTTCATACATTTGTTTTCAACTGCCCTAGGAAACAGGAACCACTAATAGTTTTCTGAATCCCTATCTAAACCAGTAAGTCATTTCAATTTTTATGATTGTTTTAAACATCTAAGTAAAAAAAGTGATGACTGTTTTCAAAATCTATAGACATTACATCTAAGTAATCTTTTATTTCATTTAGGTTTATCTGAACCAAGTCAGCCTTGACAATACTAATGAGAACACATCTTAAAATATGGTATGACTTTTCCTTATAAAATCTACTTTACCTAAAAAGCAATGGAGTCAATACACACAGCAGATTACCTTTTAAAAGGAAGTGTTTGTTTCCAATGAAATCTGAAAAGGAATGAAGCAGTACAACAGACAAAAAGGTGTGACACCCACCTTCCACACTCTCAGTTCTCTCAGCTTTATTTGTATCTTCAAATCCCTGTATAGATGCTAGATCTTTATCCATTCTTTCTCTATCCAAAGCTAAAGAGTCTCGGGACATGCCTTCTAGGTCTCTTTCATGTTCACTCTCCAGTTTTGCTTCATTGCGTTTCACTGACTCCATTTGAGAACAACTCTCGAAAGCTCTGTCTCTGTCTCTTTCCATGGAATCAGAAATCAGTCGTTCTCTTTCCCTGTCCAAGTCTCTCCTTTTGTCTCGTTCTCTCTCTCGTTCCCGTAGTCTGTCTCGGTCTCTGCTCCGTGACCAGTCTTTATCGACATCTCGATCCCATTCTCTCTGCCTTGTATCTCTCCTCTCTCTCTCCCGCTCTCTCTCGTGCTCATATCGATCTCGTTCTTGAAGCCTATCTCTGCTATCAAATGACCCAGACCTTGAATGAACCTGTCGATCTGACTCAGGAGAACTTCGTCTTGAACTATGGCTTCTTGAATCCTGGCGATCTAAAATAAATATACCATAAACAGAGTTAACAAGTGATAAAAAAAGCAATTAAATACTTCATTTTAGGGTCCTTTAAAGCTTACAATTTACCTTTTTCTATATTTATTCCCAATTCTCCAAAGAACTCACTTAAAGGAAAAACTGATTTCTCAAAGTACTAATTAAAATATGTAAAAAGCACATTTCCTTGTCTATTTCCACTATAACCACAAAATATCTTGAAAGAAATAAGTACATAAAATGGTTAAACATTAATAGAACTGACCACTTCATTGTCTGATCCCTCACTATCCCCCTACTTTATTTTCTGTGATCAAAAGAATGAATTGGCTGCTGGGAGAGCAGAAAAGTTAAAATTTTAGGCATCAATGAGTGACTTGAATACATAAGTCCTTCCACCAAGATATACTACTACTACAATCCTGATATTAAGCAGACTGACATCACTGAATGTACTTTTATTACAATATTGGCATTATTGTAATAATGTTAGTGTGGTAACAGCTAACATTTTGGTAGCATGGTTAAGCTTCTATTTTAAGTTCTCTGAAATTTAAGGCAGTGTATTAAGTAACCAATTTAGCATTTACTTTAAAATTACAATTTGCATAAAATACAGTAACAAAGGAAATACTGGCTGGATTATAATTCAATTTATTACCTGAAGAAGTACTTCGACTGGGTTCCCCACGCTTTAACTGATCAATCCTCGATTTTCTCTCTCCTGTGATTTCCAGGCTTTTTGTTTTTTCTCTGTCTCTTGAGCCACTATGCAGTACTCTCTTTCGACTACTTTGGTCATCTCCACTGCGATGGGCAGAATCATTGGATGGGGAGCGCAGACGCCCAGATGTATGACTACGATTACTCCGATTGCTCCCAAGGCTGCTGCTCCTCTTCTGATCCACTGGCTTGCGATGTGGTGCATCTTCTATAGTTACATGAGGTGCCTCTGCTTTTTCCGCTCGTGCTTTATGGCCTTTTCTATGTGAGTCTTCACTGGTAAAAGCTACACTGGCAGTACTGGCAGAGGTGGAAATAGTGGCGGATGTGCTGAAGGTGCTGGTGGCATTTGCAGTAGCAGCAAGAGTACCAGGGGCAGTGGCCAGAGGAGGGGGAGGGGGAGGAAGGGAAGACGGGGAAGGAGTCCTTCCGGGAGTAGCAGCTGCGGCAGCATGCTCTGTCACCTCTGCACGGTCAGGCACATCCTCATCAGACCAGTCACTGAATGCTGTATCTTCTTTTCTCTGAGGATCTTCTACAGTCGCCTCCTTATCATTGGACATTTCAAGCAATTCCTCTTTGGTTGTTATAGGAGGAGTCCGGGGTCCTCTCTTCTTCTTACTCAGCTGGGCTGCTTCTTCATCGGAATTATCAGAATCACCTCTGGGTCTTTTATGTTTTTTTTCAACACTTTTCTTCTTCTGTCCTTTTTTTGGTGAAAATACTTGACTATCTTCAGATGCTGTCTCTGTGTTACCCCTCTCTATTCCAACATCATCCTCTTTCTTTTTCTTAATAGGTTTCTTTTGAATTTTTGCTTTTTTCTTGTTTTCATCATGAGTTCCATCAGATGTGTCTCGGTCTTCAGATGGATGGTGTCCTATCAAGTCCCGAGTCCTTGAGCTTTCCATGATTTCTGTCTGTTCTCTTTGTTTATCTACAGAAGAAACTCTCTCTTTGAGCTCTTGCTCTTCATAGCGCCTGGAACTCTCTTTCCTTTCTGGTTTACGATCTTCCTCTTTCCATCTCCCCTGCCTGTCTTCTGGAAAGTGTGAAGGACTGAGAGAATGAGATTCGTGAGGTCGTACAACCTGGCTTAAGAGTCTGTGTCTTTCATCTATAAAAAAAGAGAAAAGCAATCACACTTTCACCAAGTTAACAAACTTTGCAAGTTACATATAAATAATAATAAACCAATCTCTGATTTTCATTTTAAAACGTGGAAAACGGCAATAACTTCAGTAAAAATAAAAATATGGCTTTACTACAAAGCTTAGGAATGACAGTGCCATTATAATAAAACAACTGTATTTCTAACACATACTTTAGTCACACAGAAGATACTCAGAGGCAGCAGAGCAAGAAAAATTTAAAATTTTAATTATTTCCTACTAATGTCAAAGAATGGTCTCATGGTTACAAAGGAACATGAATATACAGACATAGAAAATAGACTCCACTTACTTTTCTCATCTCCACTGTTGTAGGTGTCACTGTCGGGAGAATGTTCTCGTCGGCGCTTAGGTGACTGACGAGGGCTAGGGCTCCCTTCATTTCTATAGCGTTTCCTAAATTGGACAAACAAATGTAATCTATAAAATTCTAGGCGGTGAAAACGAGACTTTTCACTACAATTTTTACTATTATTTCTTCACTCTAACTAGAATGTGTAATTGTGGGATAGCAATATTGTCAGAGCTATATCATAAAAAGGGTATTCAGCATGTTAATAAAATTCTTCACTTCATTTGTTAAGACAACTGTGAACTTAAAATACACGACAGCATATTTTCCTTTATTACACATGTAGAATTACTCAACTGAAAATCATTACATTTAAATACTGCAAGGTGGTAACATACAGTAGAGGAATCACGATATTAATGAACACTTTACTAAAACATTTGTTAATTTTACATTTTTATGATACAGAAACACCTTATGTTGAGAAACCAAATGAAAAAATATTGGCTTTAGAGTAAAAAAGATGGGACTTATTCTACATGATTCTAATACTTACTATAAAAACCTCAATAATCAAGGAGTAGGGTATTGACATGAGGTTATAAAATTAGATCAATGGAACAAAATCAACAGTCCAGAAGTAGATCCATACATATGTAACTAATTGATTTTGACTAATGTCAAAGCAATTCAATAGGGAAAGAAAAACATCTTCAATAAATTGGAATACAATAAATGTATATTCATCAAGGAAAACAAGAGCCTCAACCTCTACTCATACACAAAAATTAATTCAAGATGAATCATAGACCTTTAGACGTAAAATCTAAACTACAAACCTTCTAAAAGAAAACAACAACAAAAAATCTGAAATCTTGATAAAGATAGGTATAGATAAACAATAAAGACATTAAACATAGAAACAAAGAAAATTTGTAAATTGGACTTTGTCACAAGTGAAATCTCCTGCTTATCAAAAAACTATTAAGGAAATAGAAAGGCAAGACACAAAAGAAAACATTTTCAATACATATATCTCACAAAAACTTTGTATCCAGAATCTATTAAGGACTTTTGCAACTCAAAAGTCTATTTTCTGAAGGGACATGAAATGATGCTCAACATCACTGGTCATTAGAAAAATGTTATTCTAACCACAGTAAGCAAATTACACACATTCGAATGGTTAAAATTTAAAAGATTAACATCATAAGCTGGTGAAGATGTGAAACATCCGGAAATCTTAACATATATGGCAAGAGTGTAGAGGATAAAACTATTGTTGAATAATTGTAATCTATTTCTTAAAATGTTAAACCTAAGTTATCCTATGACCAGCATTTCCACCTGTGGATATTTACTCAAGAGACATAAAAATATATGTCCACACACACACAAAAAAGATGAGTTCAACTTATAGCCATGTTACTTATTATGCAACCCTAGGTCAATTCCTTGAAGTCACTGAACTTTAGCTTTTTCATTTGAAAGTAGGGGAAAAAATGAGCATCCGTATCATTTTATGTTGGTTTCTGGTTAAAATAAGTATATGGCAGTTGAGTAAGCTAATGTGCCATCAAAAATGTAACATAAATAAGAATGATTAATTATATCCCCTGGATACAGAGATATAGAATAGGGCAACTATTACAATTCTAAGATTTTATTATAATAAAATTATAACACAGGAAAATGTAGAGAGGAAAAAGAATTAACAAGATATTAGGAGCACACTGAAAGCACTAAATGGAATTTTAAATTCTTTACTGAAATGTAACTTAAATAAACTGATTCACAATCACTCTTACTTTGATTTTCTCTCATCATGTCCATCTCTTAGACTCCGGTCTTCTCGGATATCTTCTCGCTTTTCTCTGCGGTCCTCTCGTCCTTTGTCTTTGTCTTCCCAATCCCTTTGACGTTCTCTTTCTTTATCCCTTTCTCTTGCTCTTTCTCGTTCCCGTTCTCGCTCTCTCTCCCTCTCCCGTTCTCGGTCTCTCTCTCTCTCCCTTTCTTCTCTCTCTCGCTCTCGCTCCCGTTCTTTTTCCCTATCTCGCTCCCTCTCTCTTTCTCTCTCTCTATCATGGTCACGATCTCTCTCTCTTTCACGGTCTCTCTCTTTTTCTCTTTCTCTTTCCCTCTCCCGTTCCCTAGCACGCTCTCTTTCTAGTTCTCTTTCCTTCTCTCTCTCCCGATCCCGCTCACGTTCCCGCTCTCTTTCCCGCTCTCTGTCACGTTCTCGTTCCCGATCTCTTTCTCTAGCCCTTTCATCTCTTCTATCATCCACTCTGTCTACTCTTCGTTCCTCTCTTCTTTCATCACGCTCAAGCTCGTCACTCCTTCCCTGATGTCGAATTGGTGAGCTTGGTCTTTGATCTACAATGAAAATCAAGTTTTGTCAGTGATTAATTTGACAGATAGCCTATTGGTAAGACAGTATGGCAAACCTTAAATTTCATCTTGGTATAGGGTCACAGTGGCAATAAATACAAATCAGGTACTATCTTTACTTTTAATTCAATCATCCAAGTAATCACCCCTTGATGTTTAAAAATATTTTTTTCTTAAAGGTAATTTTCATTTGCTTTCTAACTAACATGTTTTCTGCTCCCATCAACCCCACCAACCTCCCACTGATCAGCCTTTGATCTTTTTCTGCATGCTCCCTACCCTACCTCCAGCCCACTGCTCCAACCCCACTTTCTGCCATCTCTACCCTTCACCTCTGATCTTCTCTGTCCCCCCAGCAGGACCTGAGAACACTGGTGGCAAAGGATAGGGGCAGCAGGAGGTGTAGAACATAGGAGCTGAAGGAAAAAAAAAATTTCCCTCGTAAGTCACACCTCTAATTTCAGGCAAAAATATATACACATCAAAGTGCAACTATTACGTGAGGAAAATATAGTAGAACAAAACAAATATTTGTTGCTGCAATATCAGTTTATCATAAACTAGAATATTAAGGGTACTGATGCTTAACAATCTTGAAGTAATTAAATGTAAAAAGTGTTTCATGGGATATATATTTATAATTATAACTGCTAATAAATTTAGTTTTATTTAATCATATAACTGATTACTCAGATGAAGAGCTCTTTTCTTATTAACTGATAATCTCACCATATATATATATATATATACATATATATATATATATATGTATATATATATATATGAATTTTTTTTCAATACACAAATCATATAAACACAGAAAATGAATGCATGATGCCCAAATGCTCAGTTGAGCAGGAAATTAGTCTGGGATCAAAAAATATGTAAGAGAATGGCATGAACTCTTCCATGGAGATAGTCATTTTAAGTCACTGTGGTAGGATCTAGGTTACTGTGATGCTTCTTCTTTCATCGTATATAACATTTATTGGTTAATTATAAAGGTCATACTATAATATGGCCAATAGGCTTGCAAGTGGCATATCTAACAATCAACTTATTAAGCAGAATAATTTTAGGGTATTTCTAAGGAAGGGTTCAATATAGTAATTTGAATTTCCTTTCTTACTACAGAGGAAAAAGACAAGAATTACTCATATTTACTCTTTAGAGGTTATAGATGGATAAAAAAATTCACAGAATTTTAAAGCTAAAACAAAACAAAACCTTGTCCAGCCCTTTCCCCCTTTCCTTCTTAAAACACAGAAATTATGGTCCAGAAGTTTATTTGCCAAAGTCATAGAGATGGTAAATATCAATACATTAGGACATTAGACTAGAAGTCAGTTCTCTTAAACACTTTTTTACTTCTGCTGAAACCAACTTAAATTTAAAATGGTTCTATTGTACTACATTTTCAATTCCCAGAATGCTATATGACTGTCTGAATTCCTGAGGGGTCATACTAATGTCACAATGATTACAAAAGAAGCTAAAACAAATTCAATACTGCAACTTATAGTAATTCCTACTTGAAATTTCTGGTTATAGTAAAGTCAGGGGATAGACTATTTTACTCAAAACATTCTTTTTTGACATATAAAAACTATTTTTCCAACAAAAATGACAACGTTCCTTACTTCAAAGAAAATAGAAACACTGCAAAAACACCATTCGAATATGTCTAAACTATTTTCTCTCTCTTTCCTTTGTTCTTTGAAGATGTGTTTCTCTTCATTTACTTCCTTATCTTAATGAATGACATAACCATTTATGAAAGCTAGAAATCTCCGAGTTATCCAAGTCCTATCATATTCAAGTAGCATTAATTTCACTCTTAAAACGTGTCTTCTACTTTCTCTCTCCATTTCTATAGTTATTATTATTAACTTAAAGTTTGATCAGTTTTTAGATGTCTATGTCATCAATAGTCTAACTGGTTGGTATCCTTGTCTTCGGTCTTTCCCCAGACTCTCTTATACTTTTTTGATGAAAACTCTGCTTTTCCAGCGGCTTAAAAGCAGTTACCTTATAGGTAGTGAAAAGGCAATTAAATCTAAAATTTTTAGCCTGACTTATAAGCCTGACAAGCTGATCTATCGACTCTCATTAATCCTTTTTCCAAGCTTCTTTCCTTTTCTAACAATCTAACAATTATAGCATACCTCTACACCAATCTTGTAATTCTTTACTACTTCAAAACATAGGTTTCTTTTAGTCCTATGTGTCTGGACATGCTCTACCCTCTCCCTGCAAAGTGTTTCTTCCATCGTTCCTTCTGGCGAACTCTGATCCTTCACGCCTTAATTCAGATGGCCCTTCTTTAGGAAGCTTTTTGGATTCCTGCAAAATTCTGTTTGGTCCTTTGTCTTCTCACAGAACTTTATATAGTAGTAGCATTTATCACACTTTGCCTATTTGTACCCTAATTAGCCTGTAAAGATTTAAATTCCTGAGCACAGAACAAGGTGACAGGGTACATCTCTACCCTTAGCCTCTATTAATCTCCCTATTGGTCACCATATTCTAGTCCCATTGGTCTTCTTTCAAACTCTAGGACATAGTAAGCTATTTCTCAGGGAATCGGCACATACTCTCTTCTGCACAGAATATTCTTACCTTCAATCTCTGCAATGCTAACTTCTCTTAAATGCCATTTCCTCAAAATTTTCAGGAACACTCTATCTAGATAAAGAAGGTCCTTATCTTATCCTTTATTTCTATCTGGGTTCCCTGTTTGTTTTCTTGATAGCACTCAATAATTACTCTCTTCTGCACAGAATATTCTTACCTTCAATCTCTGCAATGCTAACTTCTCTTAAATGCCATTTCCTCAAAATTTTCAGGAACACTCTATCTAGATAAAGAAGGTCCTTATCTTATCCTTTATTTCTATCTGGGTTCCCTGTTTGTTTTCTTGATAGCACTCAATAATTATTTTTTGGGGGGTGGGGTGGTGGTGGTAATCTCCCTCCCTATTAATTCTACAAGCACAAGGACTGTTGTATTCCAACAACCTAGGAAAGCGCACAGGGACTCAGTCAACACTTGTAGAATATATCATTAACCTCAAAAAAATATTTTTATTTCAATCATAAAACTGGTATTTATTGAAGTTGTTCTGGTAAAGTGAAACAGAAAGATAACAGGACTTGCAATCAGACAATCTAAGTTTGAATTCCAGCTCTGAAACTTGCTTCTCTGTAATACTGAAAAAATCATGACCCTTCTCTTAGCCCAAACCTCATAAATATGAAACATGGATTTTCTTATCAAACCTACATTCGCAGGGATATTGTAAAGATAAAAGGATTTTAAAGGATTGTGTGTGTATATTAAAGCAAAGTGTATATATATAAAACAACTATCAAAGTTTTTGGTAACTCAGTGTATGTGTGGTTGAACTAAATATAAAGTTAAAACCAAACATTATTACTGAATTAAGGCACGACATGAGAAAAACCTGAGCTAAAATATGAAACTAAAAAAAAAAAGATATAAAAAAAGCATTACCAGGATATGGTGTTAAAGAGAGTAAACAGAGGTGAATTAGCATTGCGGAAGAAATCATTTCAGATATGAACACAGAATACATAAACGCCAGCTTTATCTGTAACTAAAGAAATCATACACATCTTTTAACCAAAATGCATTAGGCTTACCCCAACCAACTCTGATCTCATCCACGTCTCTCATCTCAACTATACTCCCCAAAGTACACTGTGCCTTAGAGACTTCACTCCTCCCATTACTGCACATATCAAGATACACTATTGCCTCTTTGATTCAGATCACTATGAAGTATGAACATTCAATTCTCTACTCCATCGTTTCATACTTTATTAATCTCAGCTTTATAGCAAACCTGACTTTAGTAACTAGCCAAAATTAGTTAAAACCTTCCTAAAGTCTTAAAATGTTTAAGGCCCTAATATGTAAGGGCAATAAAAGCTTGTTAAAGAAAGTACTTATCACTCTTCTTAAATGCTTTCTAGTAATCATGCTTCAAAACTGACTTAAGAGGTCATCTAATAAAGTAACAGAAAATGTTTAACTTAAGATATACAAGTTATAAAATTAGCTAAAGCAAGCATTACGTATCCTCAGGAAGGAACATGAATAAAATGTTTCTTCAAACAATCCCCAGCCCTACCATTATCATTTTTTTTCTTGTTCCTCTCTGGGAATCCTTATAAGACTGTTTATCATATCACAGCTAGTGAGTGAGTGGCCAGGATACTCAGATGAGAAAGTTTAAGTATCTCCTGAATCTGAAATGCCTGGAATGACCCCCAAGCATCTACATTTTTTTAAAGGTTGTGAGCTATTTGGTTAAGGTGACAGACTTACAATAGGGCACCTCAGTTCTTGCAGTATGCAAGTACCTATTACCTCAGTATCTACACTATTGCCAGGTACTGGTAGCTAGCTATTTACATACTCTCCCCTAAACTAAGTAAACAAGAAATACAATATAAAACAAGAATACAATAGTTTCAAATGTGTCAATAAGCAAAAGTATTAAAACACATATAGAAAAGTAAATTGATAACTGTTTTAAAAGAACAATTCTTCCAATGTTGGTCACTATTCAGTAATATTTCATTTGACAAACCTCTCTCTCTGTTGTCACGACGGTCTCTCTCTCCATGTCTTCTCTCAAAGGAAGAATCCCTTGTTTGATCTCTGTTGTCTCTATCAGGATATCTGTCTCTTTCAGGGTAGCTACTTCGAGTTTCCAAGCTGTCGTGATAGTTGCTACTACTACTGTGACTATCAATTTGAGAACCTCTTGTGCCTCGACTTCCTAAACAAAGGATATTCACACAATGTTTAAACATAGGCATTTTATTTAACAAGTTTCATCAATCATAATCTTTCCTCCCAAAAAATATACAGATAAAGGTGTTTGTTTTTATTCCAAAGTGTGCTAATCATTGTTGAAAAGATATTAAATGTTGGATCAGAACACCAAAGTTGTCTAATGATTGACTTGGTAAGCTAAGCCCAATTACCTCTATCTATAAAAGAAGTCATATAATGGAATCATAGAGCAAGAAGGCTCATTTCAATTAACCCAAAAAAACCAAAACAAAAATAAAAACGATTCATATCTAATTTACAGAAAGACCATGAAAATAACGAAAAATATGAATATACATTAATGCTTTGGTTACAGTTTACAGTGAAAACATTCCAATACAGAACTAAGGCACTTTGTTGAAATTAAGTGGTGTCTGCTAATTTTCATTAAAAAATGTGGGAAATGAATGTTTATAGTAACTTTATTTGTAATAGCCCCAAACTGGAAAGGACCCAAATGTCTTCCAAAATGTCTTCCAAAAGGCAAATGGTTAAACAAACTGTGGTACACCTGAACCATGGAATACAATAAGGAACAAACTTTTGATACAACTTGGATGAACTTGAAGGAAATTATGCTGAATGAGAAAGTCAATTTCAACAGGATACATACAGTGTGATTCCACTTATGTAATATTTGTGAAACAATAATTATAAAAGGACATATTAGTGGTTGCCAGAGATCAGGGATGGGGGAGGGGATTTAGGTTGTGGCTCTAAAGGGGAGGCTTGTGATGGTATAACTGAGTATCTTGATTGTGGTGATGGTAATGCAAGGCTACACAGTCACTAAGGAAAACAGTATGGAGGTTTCTAAAAAATTAAAAATAGAACTAGCATTGATCCAGCAATCCTACTTCTGAGTATATATCCAAAGGAACTTGAAAACAGGATCTAGAAGAGATATCTGCACTCCCATGTTCATTACAGGATTATTCACAATAGCCAAGACATGGAGGCAACCTAAATGTCTATTGACAGGTGAACTGACGGAGAAAATATGGTATATACATACAGTGAAACATTATTCAGCCTTAAATAAAGAAAATCCTACCATTGGAGACAACATGGATGAACCTGAAGGACATTACGCTTAGTGAGATATGTCAGACACAAAAGGACAAATACTAAGAGATAGCACTTATACGTGAAATCTAAAATAGTCAAAGGCATAGAGGCAGAGAGTAGAATGGTGGTTGCCAAAGGCTGGAGGGAGAGGGAAACAGGGAGGTATTAGTCAATATGCACAAACTTTCAGTTGAATAGTCCTAGATATGTACTCTATGGCACAGTGCCTAGTTAGTAATGATGTATTATAAACTGAAAAATTTGTAAGAGGCTAGATCTTATGTTCAGTGTTCTCATCATATAAACACACACAAATAAAAAAGAGAGCAAGAGGAAATTGTTTTTTGCAGGTGATAGATATTTTGTGGCATATGTTGTTGTATATACTTATCTCCAAGCTCATCAAGTTGTACACATTAAATGTGTGCAGTTTTTTGTATGTCAGTCATACCTCAATAAAGTGGTTTAAAAAATGCATAGTGCTATGTATACACACACATAAACACATCCTTTATATATAACAGGCTTTGAGCCCTGAAAGCATTACAGCATAATTCTAAATACTGTAACAGGGTATTTTAATAATCAAAATATCTGTAAAGACTATTTTAATAATTAAAGACCAGAAAGAAGAAATTTTAAACATTTTTTAAAAGGCCATATATAACATCTAGGAATAAAAAGGTTAAATGCTAAAAAAAAAAAAAAAAAAGTTAAATGCTGGATCAGATGCTGCTAAGAGAAAATTAGTTAAAAAAAAAAGGGTGTGTAAGGGTACAACCCAGAAAGTGAAAGAGAGATAACAAGATAAAAATTCTGAATGCAGAAGGACAATCAAGAATCAAGGAAACAACAATGAAGAAGATTCAACATATGTCTAACATATGCCTAAATACATACTGTTTAGAGTCATAGTTAAAACAAAAAGATACAAAAAGTTGAAAAGATGGAAAAAGATGTATCCAAACAAATACTACCAAAAGAAATCTGTGAGTAAAATAAATTTCAAGACAAAAAACACTATTAGGAATAAAGAGGGTCTTTCCAAAATGATAAAAGAATAAAGCAAAGCCTCAAAATATTCAAAGCAAAACTGGATGAAATTATACAAAATCGTCAAATTAACAATGATAGTGGAAGATTTAACTCACATCTCTGTAATGTTAGAAAAAGACTAAAAAAATTAAATGCAGACCTGAAAGCACAGTTAACAACAAACTTCATCTTGGAGACACACTTTGCATCCAACCATTAAAAGCATATGCAGGACATTTATAAAAACTGACAGCTATGCCACAAAATAAGTCTGAACAAATACAACAGCCAAAGAACTGACTTCAAAGAGTATTCTCTGACAACAATTAAAATTGGGAGAGGGGATTTCTTTAAAAAAGCATGAATGGAAACTTAAAATCCTATTTCTACATAACTTGAAAGTCCAAGAAGAAATCATATTAACACTTAGAAAGTGTTTAGAATGTTTATTAATATGAATATCACACATTTCACAACAAAGTAAAACCTAAGGGTAGAAATTAATGAAATAGAACAAGACTACAAAGGAAAACAAAACCAAAGATTATGTAGTTCTTTAAAAACAATCAAAATAGACAAACCTCTGGCAAGATGGAGCAAGAAATAAAAAATAAGAAGAATGTAATTATAAATGTAACAGAGATTTAAAAAAAAATTTAGCAACATCTTTTTAATCAAAAATTTGAAAACAATTTCCTGAAAAAAAGTAACTTGCTATATACACTGCTTCAAGAAAAAACAGAAATCTTAATTACTACAATAACCTAAATGTGTAACTCTTAGAGAAAGTCAATTGGTAGTAAAAGCTCTAAGCATCAGAAAATTGAAAAACAAGGCTTAAGGCAAATGTTACCGACTGTCAAAGAAATGATAACTAATCATATACAAACTGTGCCAGAAAACAGAAAAAGCAATAATTCTGAACACATTTTATGACTGGTATAACTGATTCCCAAACTGAACAAGGACAAACTGAACAATCCCCAAACTGAATAAAAAAATGCACTATGCAGTCAGTGGTACACTAGAACTGGTTCACACTGGTTCACACTCGACAGAGCCAATTGTGTGTGTACATCTCTTTCCCAATTCCATGTTGAATGACATTAGTACTCGAAATCTGCTATGGGAGGAGTATTTATACCATAGAAATTGGCAAAAGTTACAAGTGAGGTATGAAGAGTTAGTTGTTAGATATTTATCATAATACCATTAATTATATGCCAATCTCAATTAAAAACATGGATGCTTAAATGACATTAAATTTTAACAAACCTATTCTAGCCCTTGTATTATAAAAAAATGAAAAATAGCATTTATCTTAATAATGCAAGAATAGTTCTAAAATTTTAAAAATACATTAACATAAATAACAAGGTAAAAGAGACCAACTATATCAAACTACATGATCGTCTCAAGATACAGAAAAACCAGTCATGACAAATGCTGTTCACTAAGTTGGGAAAATTAGGAGACATCTTTAACACAATAAAAGTAATTTGCTAGAAAAAGCACCGTGCGGGCCAGCTGAGTGGCGCGTTGGTTAAGAGTTGGCTTGGGACGCCAGCTCTGAGCAGCAGGGACCCAGTTCAGATCCCACAGGGGGGCCAGTGATGTTGCACCCTCTACAGCTAAGATGGTGGTAAACAACAGCTTGACCTGGAGCTGGGCTGCTGTGAGTCGCCGGTGTGTAGTGGGGCTGCCTGGCAGTTGGCGTGAGCTTTCGTGAGCTGCCGTGAGCAGCCATGCACTGGCCAGCAAGCAACTGCCTCACCCGGGAAGAGCGCAATGATAATACCAACATGTGCCAGTGAAGCAATGTCCTCCACAACTAGACTGAAGAACAAAAGGACAGCAACTTGTCTGTTCCCCTCCCCTGATTCCCCCAAAAAAAATCTTAAAAAAAAAAAAAAGAAAAAAAAGAAAAAGCACTGTGCTTAGTGGTGAAATGCCAGTCTTTAAAATCTCAAACAAAGCAAAGCCCATTATATTACTATACTGAACACTATGTTGAAAGAATTGCTCAGCAAGTAATTGACAGTCAATAAATAAAAATCAGAAAGGAAGAGATAAACCTGTCTGTTCCCAGACATAAATGTTGAAGAGGAACTAATTAGATCTACAAAGAAAATACAGCAACACCACAATGTAAGATTAATATATACACATCAATGACCATTTCCACACACCAGCAATAAGCACAAAAAAATGAAATGTTTTATAAGATATCATTTAGTGACACCTGTACATAGTTATCCACTGAAGCACTGTTCAAAAACAAAAAGAGTCTGGAACATCTCAATATCCACCAGTGTAGGACTTATTACATTTATGGTCTATCCTACAATAGACACTAGGCATCAGAAAGAGGAGGAAGCTATTTACCCAACTGACTAATATGGAATGAGCTCCAAGATATTTAAGTGAAAACAGCAGGGTCTCAGGCACTACATATTGGTTTTTTAAAATAAAAGTTTTTTTAAAGAAATTACATTTGTGGGCCGGCCGAGTGGCGCGATGGTTAAGAACTGGCTTGGGACGCCAGAGGGCCCCGGTTCGGATCCCACATATGAGGGCCAGTGACACT